CAAGTACAGTACAGTACAGTTGAGGTGGCCATTAACAAGACACCCAACCCCAGCTGGAGCTGCTGTCGACAAAGGTACTTGAGTGACTGCACCGGGAAAGTCCACATTGTGTTTATTTGTTATGACCTTCCCTCGCCTTGAAACTGTCAAGCTGCCATTATATAATACTTTTGCTTATCTTTGCTTGTTAAATGAGTTTTAATGTCATACAAACATGATATTTAGTTATATTTTGCCCTCTGAATGTTTCAAGAGTCATTGAGCATTCATTACCTCCGAGGGTCCCACATCAGAGCAGCTGTTGTGGGTGTTCAACAGAAGGTACATGGTGTCCTAATCACCCCCTGTGGTCCCCAGCTTAACTCCAGCCAAGACAAAGTGCACCCCTGTAAGTTCATGCATAATGGAATACAGTAGACACACAGAGGAAAGACTAGCAGCAGTTGCCCTTGAGTTGCACATTGCTGATGTTACAGGTGTTTCTTTATGCCAGTGAGGAATACAGCTCCCTCCAGGGTGGAGACAGCCTCTCCAGACCAGTTCTCTGAGGTCTGTGCCTGCTAGCATGATAAACACCCACAATAATGATCACACTAATTCCAAAGCATGTTTATAATAATGTGATATTTTATTGGTACCAAAAAGAGGATTTCTGTTTTTCGGTGCCCCCGCTTGAATGTATACTTTGAAACGATTGCCTGTGGGGTGAATAGACTGTAAATTGAGTTTTCACTTTAATGAGTTTCCGCTGCATTTTTCTTCCCCTGTAGAAAGCTGTTAAAGCAATGTCTTCACCATTTCATGTAATGTTTTTTTTTTAGTTGTACGGATTACTATGTATAGAGGGGAGTGACAAATTTGTCAGCTAAAAATGTCTTGTTTGCATTGTTAACTTTGTTCACTGGAAACTGACGGGGACAGCTAGTCCCTCGTCGCCTCTGGGACAGTTGCAGAAACTTTTTCGCCCACATTGTGACAAGTGCCTGCTGAGCAAAAACAACAGATTAATTTTCAAAATGTCAAGAAATGCCTTTAATTTATTCCAGTGGAGCTGGGGCTTGGCTGTCTCATTCATAATGCACAAGACATGCCCTAGAGAGTCAGATATGTTTTCTGAGAGATGAGCTAGCCTCACACTAATGAAACGACATCTGCAATTTAGCCTGTACGTCAACTATGCTCATGTCCCCCTCTCTGTCTCTGACCACTGTGTGAAATGGAGTTCTGTTTCTCAGGAATTGGGGCCGAGTATGTACAGCTATATAGCAGACACATTTCCAATAAGAGTGTATTTGCATTAGAATAAAGCATTACCACAGAGTCTATTCCACAGATGGATTATGGATTACATATTTCCTTATGCAGATCTTTTATCAAAGCAGCGTTTTAGCCTAGGACTAATTAAAATGTGTGAAACTGTAGGAATATTATGAAAAAAATATAGTAGTAGAATTTATCATTGTTCATGTTCTGTAACACTGCAGTGCATCAGTACTCCGACAGTCAAGCTGTGGCTCTATAAGTCATCTGGGCTCACGTTGGGGGTAACTGTGATTTGGATTCTGCAGTGGTCCGGCTCTCTGCTGGAGAGTGTTTGGAAGGCAAGGAGTAGGGGCTGTGTCTGCGGTTTTCTGTATGTGATGTATGGGTCTAACGGGCACATCTGCTTGTTCTGCCGGCCACATGGTGCCAAGTAAATATTTGCCCCTTGCCCTTGCCACACACTTACACATACCCACACAGAAACACCAGAATAGATGCCTCTTCAGTGCACGCGTGCTTTCTTCCACAAGCCTTCTCTGCAATGCGAAGTGTTTGACCAGAGGGGACGGGGCTTTCTGGAGATCACTGCAGCATCAGGATGTAAAGACCATTAGCTAACTTGTGCCTCATGTCCCTTCACCCCTCCTCCCTATAACCCCCTATGGTGAGATTAATGCCAGGTGGGGGAAATATAACATAGTTTAATTAAGCCCGAGTCCACAAGATTCATGGACTAATTTCTTTGTCTGACAGTGCAAATGAAGGTTCAAAGGGTGCAAAGCAAGAGAGACACCCTTGACTAGCTGTTGGGAGCATAATGAATGTAGAGGTGCACATGGGATAACGATTTCACCCTTAAAGACTTGGACTTTGTTGTAAATGGCTTCTACATAATTTCACTGCGACTCTCCCCCACTTATTTAAAACGTCATTGCGAGAAAACCTAATGGTGCATTCAGACATACGAACATAAACACACAGATACTGACTGCAGAGATTCAAAGATGTTAAAAGGTCATTCAGCTATATTGCTGTGGTTAGCTGCGAAACTTGATGCAAATTTTAAACATGTGTACACGTGCGCTCTGATATGCAGTTGTGGTAATCACTGGCCACAGCTGCTGAAGCAGTCCTTATGAGCACGCAAAACAGGATGCACCCTAATGAACCACGCTGGGACTAAGACTGGCAGCGATATTAGTGCAGAGACAGTGCCAATCAAGCTTTTTCCAGCGCTGGCATCAATATTATATTACACTATGTGAGTTACATAAGGTATTACATGATTACAGATTTTTTTATATATTTTTTAAACTTATAGTCTTCAACCCCAACTGACTCAATTGACATCACTTGAGGAAATTTATCAGACTTCACACGGCTCCCTCTAGAGCCACAAAAACCTTTTTGTAGAACTTTTTTCACATATTCAGTAGTACTCCTCAAGACCTGTAAACAGACTTTGACTTGTAAAAGTTCCCCTTTAATTGCCTGCCTGAATATTAGCATGTGCATTGCAAGCACAGTGCTAACTATGCCTTTCCGATGTCTGTACACCCGATTATTTGGTAGCTATATCCACACACTTTGATACACTGCCTTCCACTTGTTGTAGTTCTGAGGAGAGTGATAGGAAAAAAGGAAAGAGGCACAGAATATGTTGAAAACCTGCAGCACCCTTTGCTTTGCAACCTTTATGGTCTATGTCATGTCTGTTTTAATGCAACTTGCTGCTGCACAGGTAACCTTGGGCTAATCGAAACCTTCCCATACTGTGGGGCTTTGACTCTTTCCACACCAACAGAGCCATGCTGTGCACTAGATCACTGTATTGAATTTCTATATAATTAAAGTCACTGGGGACAAGGTAAGAGAGAAATTTTAAGTGGGAGATGCACAGGAACTGTAGTGAATAAATAGCTGCTCCCATAAGCTGAACAAGCTCTAATGCGTTTCACTCAATTTAGCCAATGGACTTAGCCCATTGCTGTTTAGCTGATTGCTATTTCCTATTCTGCTATCTGTCACTGACTCTGTATTTGCATTTGCCTTGAGGAACAGTCAAGGCAGAGTCATTTGGCAGTGCTAATCAATATTGTTCACTCAGTGCGAAGGACTTATCAATTTCCAGCCAGTGCCTTGAATAAGAGTCGAGGAAGAATTTGGCTTATTCATTAGGTACATTTGTTTCTTTTTTAACTCAGAAAAGTATGTTAAGGCAGTGCCATTTCATTTGCACGGAAATCAATTTCCCCCTTTCCCTTCGCTCTTGGAATGCAGGTAAAACAGTGGCAGTGCAATTACAAGTGAAGAGATTTCCATTGCGTTTTATGTTTGTCCAGGTTGGATGTGGCAACTCGTCTCGTTGAATGCTAATAGGGGGGTTTGTAGTGTTGCAGGGCCCGGGCAGAGGGAGACCTATCAGTGAATAATGGATGAGTTAATGTTAGCGAGAGCTCATCCAGTAAACTCCTGCTTCTTGAGAAATACTGCTGAAAAAATGCACAGTCATATATCTTGAATATCCTAAGTTGCCTGGTTCTGGCAGACAAGGTCACTCAGTGATTTCACTTCCCTCTAGGAACAATTATATAATTATATCCCACACCTTTATTGCAGTCTAGATATTATGATTCATTGACTAAAAATAGGATGGAAGAGAAGACTGAATTGCCAAATACTACAAGACAAAACATTTTTCTCTTGAGTCACTGTTGATCCCTTCACCCACCCATCCTCTTATTGTGTGTGTGTGTGTGTGTGTGTGTGTGTGTGTGTGTGTGTGTGTGTGTGTGTGTGTGTGTGTCTGTGTGTCGGTGTTGTGTGTGTGTGTGTGTTTGTGGTGCGTGTGTGTCTGTGTGTGTGTGTGTGTGTGTGTGTGTGTGTGTGTGTCTGTGTGTGTGTCTGTCTGTGTGTCTGTCTGTGTGTGTGTGTGTGCGTGCGTTTAAAGACAGTGGGATATGGGCTGGATGTAATGTGTAGCACCTAACATTAAGCCATATTTTCTGGGTCTTCATGGACCCAAAGGGAACTACTCTCCGCCAATTTAAAAGTTCAATTTGCACCTTTCCATCAGGTTTATTTTATATTATAGCCTCCCGGCTCTCCCAACCGGGCCGGGGGAGAGTGTAGTTAATAATCCACTTCTAACCCATCAGATAATTTCAGTGGAGGAAAAGAGAGAGACAGGAAGGGAAGTTTGGACTATAAGGACATGGTTGGTTGGCTGGTTGGTTGATTGATTGATTGATTGATTAAACGATGTCCAAGAATGGCTTGCTAATCCAATGTGGTTTGAAAAATTATTTTTATTGGGATAATTTGAATTTCACGCAATGAAGTTTTGATATAATATACACTACAGAATATCAGTTGGTAATATCAGAATATGTATACTTTTACCAGAGCGTGTGATTATCAGTATCTGAGAGTTCAAAAAAATCTATTAGCCAACATTGATTTTTCAATATAAACACAAAACAAACAATTTTGATAAATTTGGTAAATTTTGTAATACGATAATTGTTAGCAACACATGAATTGCAGATGTGTTGTGGTTAAAAGACAGACCTGTCATTGCTCTCTGGTAGATAAGCTATGTATCTAAATGACCTCAAACATCTTTGACACTTTTTGTACCGCATGCTATTATTTTTATATACCCATATGGATGTATCTGTGTCTGTTTCAGTGGTCAATCTAAAATGAACTTTGTTTGTATTTTTGTCGTTTTACAGAGGAGCTACGGAAACTCAGCTGGTCTGGAATCCCACGACAGGTCCGACCAATCACGTGGAAGCTTCTTTCGGTAAGTTCCTCCCACAGAATACACACTCACACACATGCTGTACATATACAGGATGAACACTTACATGCCAACACACTTAAAGTGAAACACCTATGTAACCTCATACATAAAGCCACAAGTGAGAACACAGATTCATCAAATGCACACACAGATATAATCACACAAATAATACGGATGCACACACACTCGCACAAAAAGTTGCTGTCATGTTCAACGCGCAACCCCCTCCCTTTTTTGATTTATGAAGACTGGTAACAGTCTTGCTCCTTTTTTTTTTTTCATACTTCAATAGAGAAAATGAATTGCGAGGCACAAATAATTTATTCATGAGACGCTCTGTGTGTTTACTCATTAAGCTATTGTTGTGGTGTACGGCTCCTAGTCTGCTGAGAGAAGACTGGCTTTTTGAACGCTGTGACTCTCCCATTAATTACTGCACAATAGTTAATGTGCCGCAGAAAAGATGTCATTAAAGGTGTGTGCGTATGTGTGTGCTCACGCCTGTTTGTGTTTTTTGGTAGTGGGAGGTTACCAACTGGTCGCTTTAACCATTAACGGCTGCTTTGTTTGGTACTCTACTTGAAGTGTGGGCTCATAACGCCGTATGAAGTTGCAAAGCACTGACTGCAGTGTGGGCAGCCGGGCACGGGGGACGGGAGGGGCACCTCGGCACTTAAGCTGCTTGTGTATGTGTGTATACGTGTTTGTGTCTGGGTGTTTTAGCTAATGTACCATAGATAACACCCCATTAATGATTTGTTCCTGTTTGTGTTGCTCCTGTGTGTCTTCCTGTGTTTGTGAGTATATACATTATGTGTTCATGCATGTGTGGGTCTAAATTGTGTGTGCACATGTGTATACCTATACGTTCATAAACAGTACGTATACAGTGAATATTGTAGTTGCAAAGCACAGCTGCCCTGTGTTCTGTATAAATGATGGTTGGACTGCTTGAAGGAGGTTGTGGGATAGCATTAAAAACAATGAGAGAGAAATAGAAGACTGATTCGTCTTTTACAAGTTCTTCCTCCTTTGTTACGCAGCAGGTTACCCTAAAGCAGGGATTGACAACTGGCGGCCCGTGGGCCACGTTCAGCCCACCAAAGCTTCCCATCCGGCCTGCAGAATATTAATGAATTCAGAACATGTGAAGGACAAATACGTTCTGGTATTTATTTTATTTTTAGGATATGTAGCATTTTTTTTCTTTCTATTTCGGACCTACCCCTAAAAACAATTGAGACAATTGAACAAATATGTGCGTTCGACCCACGGGTTCTAAAGACGGACCCCACAGTGTCTGCTTAGAAGAGCTCTGGACCTGGGACAGATGTAATAAATGACCCTGGAATAGGAAGTGAATTTGAAGAGAGTTAGGCTAGCTGTTTCCCCATGCTTGCAATCTTTAGGTTCAGCTAAGTTCAATTACAGAAACGCCTCAAGCCCCTCCTGCAGTAATCTCCTTGTCCGTTGTCCATCCAATAAACAGTTGTCTTTATTTCTACTGTTAAACACGTAGCTTCGGTGTCACCCTTACCCTTCTTAACACTATGAAGCCACAAATCATTGAAGCCCTGAAGCTCCTAAAGAGCTAGTTTATTTCTCAGTTCAGGGGACAGTCTTTTTATTTCATTTGCAACTTTATGTCTGTTTTGTTAAAACCCCAGCCGGTGCTAAACTTTCCGACATGGTCACCACAAGCCAAGTAATTTTATTTCTTGTTTCTCTCTTTTAAGGACATGGGCAGATTGGACATGATTTTAACAAGTTTGAATGCGGTATAATGGAACACAACTCATATCTTCATTGAGGACACACATGTCCAGATGACTTTGATAAATATGTCAGGGGTGTTCTGACTAGGAAAAAACTTAAGATCCATATCCTTGTCGCAGCCCCACCGTGCAGGGCTTTCAATGGATTTCTAGATCTCAGAGCCTCGTGCAGCGTGAATTATCCCGGGGGTTAAATCCAAGGTTTGTATTAAAGCGAAAAGTGGGCACAGTGTCAAAAGCACTCATATCATCTGAAGTGTCATAACACTTGACTGCCTTCTCTGTCCTGTCTGTGGTATGATCCAGTGGCGAAATAGATAGGAGGGATCAGGCTCGGAAAAAAATCTATTCTTCGTCTGAGACGCACGCACGCACACACACACACACACACATTCAGACTCACAGCCCACGCTGTATTCCATAAACTTGGCAGAGGCACCTAATAAAACTTCACTCCAGTGGTGTCCCTTGTGCCCTTCTCCTGCTCACCAGCGTGCACCAACTTATTTGATTTTCCTCTCCCCTCCAGCAGGCATGCTTGAGCCACGCTCTTCTTTACCTGACAAAGACGAGAAACAAGTTTTCCCAATGAGGTTAGAGCTCAGTAATGCTCCCCCGACGGCCCCCATTTACCACCACATCACAGAAATCGTCCATAACTGTCTCCACTGTTATTAGCCAGTGTGGAAATTAAAAAGTAGGCAAAAAAAGAGAGAGAAGGAAACCAGTCTTTTTAGCCTTACTGGATAACTCTCTCTACCTCCTTTTTAATATTCGAGCAAGAGGCTCCACAGGTTGCCCCCGGCCTAAGAAACACATCCGGTTGAACTTCTTATTATTTCAGAAATAATACCTTCTTATTTCATTTTTTTTAAAAGAGCACTTTGTGTCCGAGCCTGAAGGAAAAAAAAGAGAAATTAAATGGCTTTTCTTCGTTGTGGAAGAACGTCAGCCTGTGGCAATATGTACATTTGCTAATGGTGTGTGGCTGTTAAATGTGAAGTAGTGGGAGAGGAGAAAACTAACTGGCTGTGGAAATATTGATAAGGCTAAAGGGTTATATGAGATGTATCAAGAAGCAGTGGCGGCGGGGACAGATTTAGACATTATGATGTTAAACTGTTACCTTACGACAGTACACATAATTATATCGCCTCAGAGTAAATAACAATGAGCCTTTTTCACACGACACAGCACAATACTCACACCTTCGGCTGGAACTTTTTGTTCCTTTTCGGTTTGTGCTCTCCTGCTGTAGTTCATGAGGAGTGCAGGTCCACAATCACCTCTCAATATTGATTTGTAAGACTTGAGCAAATTGCTTTTTGTTAACAGATCCAGGACCAGAAATTGAAAGCGGGCGCCTTTGTCTGTGTATAATCTTTGGTATGTATATATGCGGGGGAAATCTCTGCATTTGACCTACGATAAAGGATGGGGTCATCCTCAACAGTGAAGATGAGTGAAAAGCAGCACTGCCCACTGCTTATTGCACAGTATCAGTTCCTGGATTATACCACAGGCTTACTGAGTGAGTGATTTATTTATTTATTTATTTATTTATTTATTTAGGAAATGTTAAGTTCATGACACCTAAGCCTTAAGTTCCCAGTTATCTGCTGCGCATGTAAACACCATAGCCTACTTCCAGAAATCAAAAACCTTATTCTTCTGATAAGTCCCAAACTCCGTTTCAATTCCTCCTCAACTGTTTTGGTAACTCAGTCAGTAACTGAGGTGTTGAGGGATCTGAACTGTAATGATCTGATATGATGATACAGGGATATGACTAACTGAAGCCCTGGTGATGAATGGGTTTTGCAAGTTTTCCTTTTATTTATTTTTTAACTGTATTGTCAATAGCAGTTACCTTATCAGCATAATGGAAAACTATTCCTTGCCAGACCAATGCACTCAGTATGGTCCGGCAAAAGTTGAAACTACTCAGATCAACACAAGGTCTTCCTGATTGACAAACGTGCCTCTTACTTGGCGGTTATTGGTAATTTAGTTCGGAAAACCACAGCCCGGGAAAAGTTTCTGAATAAATTGGAGGTAAGAAATAAGTTGCGCAGTAGCAGAGTGATGCTTCATTTTATCTCCACAAAGTTTTAATACTTCTAGTTGAGAGGCGGTGAGTCACGGTTGGAAATTGATTCTCATGTGGATGTTCAAATTCGAATCATGTTGCGAAACTCGCCAGATGTAAGGGTAAAGAAATGGACACGTGGAGACACAGCGGCAAGAGCATTTTAAAAAGAAGTTAAGTTGTGTTTGCCCAACTTTTGCTGTGCCTGTAGTGGGAGAGTTTGTTTCTAGCCTGCATCCAGGATAATGTGTGCCTGCTAAGCAGAAATCAATTTAGATTGTCAGAAGACTTACTAAAGAAAAAAAACATTTTATTTAAATTCCCCAAATGGATTCCCCAAGCATATTTGCCCCCTTTTTTTTTTTTTTTTTTTTTTTTTTACAGAGAGCTTACTGAAGTGGAGGATCCATTAGAAAGATGGAAGGATCACAAGGGGTAGATTGATGCAAGGAAGAATGAAGAGATGAGGTTTATGTAGACTGATTAACAGAGGTAGGAGGAAGTGCTGTGCTGCCACATTTTGTACCACTGGCAGGTCATGCAGAGCCATCACGCATTTATGCTTCACTTTCAGCCTTCCATTTCTCTCTTTTTTAACATCTCCACTCACCCCTTTTAACCAGCAGACCACAAATGAAACGAAAATTAGTCACTCAGGTTTAAGCATAAGTATACTTAGATCTTGGGCACTTAATGCACTTTACAGTGAGATATCCTCAGTTATTTTAATTCTCTATTTTCTCAAAAGAAAGCCTTGTGCTGTCTGGATTCTTTTCCTTCTCACCAGTTCTTCTCAGTTTTTTAGTCTCAGTTTTCTTTAAGATGCACAATATTGTAATGAAGTTGTAATCGAGCATCCTGGGTTCGGCTAGCTTTATAAACTTTACAAGGAAACAATAAGTCCAAATGTCACAATTTAAACTGTATTTTTACTTTATTGAATTATGTATTTAGAACATTACAAGCAACCAGGAAACTTTGTAATCGTATAACAAAAAAATCTACATTTTTGGAGAAACTCACAAAAGCTTTTTTTTTGGGCATTGGTGCCCTATGACTGAATTTAATTCCAACAAGTAACCAGCATCATGTTCTGTCTCTCATGTTTTTAACAAAATCATGAAAATCAGTGCAGAATTAAGCAAGTTGCAGTCAGTTCTGTTGTGAAGTTACATTGCGGCAAAATAGAGCAGCGCCAATTGACATACATTTTGCTCCAGCCCCCACAACTGGGTGGGCTTGGTGGAATTTATTTATTGTATCGTGTCTAGCTTTAGTGGCTCACAACATATCAGGTAGGGAATTAATCTACAGATGCTACGGTTTAAGATTAACGTTTCAATGGATGTCAGTTTTTAAGCCACGACAAAATGTGGCCTGCCACGGACTAGGTAAGCCTTGTTTTTAGCCGAGCAGTTGTTGATCACTTGCAGTCGCTACCAGCCCAGTTAAAAGGAGTAAGGAATCAGCAGTTGGTAGAAAAACAAAGCAGTCAAATTTTTTGTGATTTTTCAAACATTATGAATCCTCGCAACTGCAGGAGGTTTTTAATGTGCACAAAAAATATGAGTCTGATGGGTCTGGTAGTGTGTGAGATCAGCTGCACATGGACACACTACAAATCTAATCATCTCCGCCAGCCTTACGCCAGACAGATATATTAATGTAAAAAAATTATAAAATATTTTGTACAGTTTATAGCCTTAGTAACATCCTATCATTAGTAGTCATAAAATAATTTTACAGTTTAGTGTTTGAGACACTTTGTGTTCCTCTTTATAGTCTGAAACTCCCCCTTATTGTGTGTACTTGTGTCCTGTCCTATCGAGCTGTAATGCAGCTGCAGTGTGATTGACCTCCACTCAGCTATCCATTAACCTTCAACACACCCATGCTCTCCTCTCTCTCATTTGGCAGAGTGCACATAACACCGGAGCCCACTGTTTTGTAGCTGGCCTGTTGCGGTTTTGTGTTTGTGCTCGTGCGTTTGTGCGCATTTGCATATGGAGCAAGCGTATCAACATGCGACGCACGGACTTCTTGGCAGAGAGCAACCAAGTGAAAAAGTCACAGTCAGTGCTTAGCCTGATTTCTGTGGGCCTGGCAGCCCCGGCGTGGGGGGGCGCAGCAGCTGGGGTAGATGGGACAGGAGGTGTGGATGATGACGAGTGTTTTTGGTTGTGAAAGAATTTACGTTTTTGTTTTTCAGGGTTAGTACCTGAAACCAGGAGATAAAGAGAATGGGAAATGGTTTGAATGACAGGGAATGCGCAGTGCGTGTTTATATGCGACTGTACACATATGAGTGTGTGGAACCACGGTGGATTTACTGAATACTTGTATTTTTCACAATGTGTTTGTATTTGCTAGCCAAATGTGTGTCTCTGTGTGTCTGTAAGCAAAGCTGTTGGGTGCAAAAAAAACAAATAAGCCTCTAGACTCTGCAGACTTCTCTCATTGGTCTTGTCTCGGTAGAAAGTTGAATAAAAAAGATAAAAAAGGCTTTGTGTGTGTTTCTGTTTGCTTGCTAGTGTGTTAGCAAAAAGTGGCAGCCTGCTTCCATAACAACAAACAGCAGAGTCATAACAAAGACAGAGATGCACATAGATAACAAACACACACACACACACACACAACACACACACACACACACACAGTCAATATCAGCCTTTTAAGACCTGTTATATTTTTTCCTGTCAAGCTTGATGTGTAGACTGTCTGTGTCGGTGCAGGTAGATGAGTTTAGTTTGATGGCCATTCCACTAAAGCCAGTCCAAAACACAGTTGCTCTCAGATGTGACTGAACAGCAGCCAAATGCACTCTCAGAAAAATGCTCAGTTTAAATTAAAAGTGATGATGACGACGAATAAATGCAAGAGACAGCCAGACTGATGAAGAGAGCACCGGTGTACTACTACGGCGTCTGTGTGCTAAAACATTTACAAGGAACCGCCGCATCTCACGCCCTTCGTCAGCGAATGGCCTTGGCTCAGGTGTCATCATGTTCACTTACTAGCTTTTCCTGATCTTTCAGCCATATTCCATGGTGGATTATGTGATGTCTAGTTTAAAGTACTTAAATCATAGGTTCAAAATGTTTCAAGTCCTTCTTAAACCAATAGGCAGGTGCTTATACAGCATGAACATTGCACATTGACACAGTTTTTGCTTGCTGTAATTATTCCTCCTGTTCATAATGTCCTTCCATTGTAAGTGGTAGAGGACAATGGTCCATGGTTCCCTCTCAAAAACTACTACTACATAAGTGTGTATGGAATTAATATGAGATCCTAATTTTTAGCACAAAATCCTGCTGTGTGTTACTTTGCCTCCTTTGCAGGTCTGCATGGAAAAACTGTACGAGGAAACCGAATGAGGGAATTATTTTTGAAGTGAATGATGCAGAGAGAAAAAAACTATTCTATAAGGACTACTTTTAGTTAGAAATGGCTAACATTTTACATTAGGCACGCAATTATTGTTATTATTGATAAATCAATAATTTATGTTCTCGATTAATTGATTAATTTGTTTTATAAAATATCAGAAAATGGTGAAAAATCTGGGAGTGCCCTGGTAGTGCACCAGTGGTGGAGCTAGTGTTGTCTTGAGCTGTCCTGTTAAATAACGTCAAAAAGACCCCAAAATATATAAAAATAAAACAAAAAAAGCCAGAAAAATATAAAAAGGAAAAAAAGCTTCAGACATTATTTATATCGTCAGAGATACCCTGTTTACTTTACTTTACTTTAAGAACATTTTTACCCTCTTTGCCTTAAATCATTATAATTTTGAGTAACTACTTATGTATGAACTGTTTAAATTACACAGTAACAAGCACGTGCACGTAAAGCAATATTTAGCAGCTACACTTGTATGTTGAACAGCTAGACTATCCAGTTTTTTATCACAGGGACAAATCTTTACAGCTAGCACTCACGTTTGAGTTCTCTTCTGAAGATCTGAACTTGGTGAATATTTTAGAGCCCCTGGTCCCAGCTCTCGCTTTTAATAGACTTTAGATTTGTTGTTCAGTTTGGAGTTGACTTTCTCCTTATTGCATAAGCCTGACTGCACTTTCACAAATGTATGATCACATAAACTGTCTGACAAACACATTCCGAGAAACACACACACACACACACACACACACACACACACACACACACACACACACACACACACACACACACACACACAGATATAGGTAGCTCCCTGAAGAGGCAGAGAACATTTGGTCAAGCAGCAGAAAGTTTTCTTTGCAAAGTGAAGTGTGTCATTTACAGACTGTGTAATCCCTAGGTGGCGCAGTTTGGTTCGCGATTGAACTTGGCTAACAAACTCAAAGCAAGTCAAGAGTTTAGAAATAAAGGCTCATTAAATAGTATATACTGACAGACAAATAAATAAGGAGAGATAAAAACATAACCTAAAATACAATTCAGATTCAGACACGGATTTAATGAGTCCCATGTGGAACCCACAAGTGTGTGTGTGTTTTTCGTGTGTGCGTGTGTGTTACAAATAGACAGGTACATTAGACTATTACTGTTACTTGCTCACAAGGGCTGCACGATATGGTAAAAACACCATATTGTGATTATTTTGACAGATATTATGATTGCAGTATGATTCAGGACTAGTGTGGAAATTATCATTTTTGCATCATAAATTTAATTTTCACTGGAATCTGGAGAACATGATTTGTAGGCCAGAGCATCTCTGCAGCACTTAAGTACTTTATTATAATGCTTTTTGTCGCACATTTATCAAAAAATTGCAGCTATTTGCATATTGCACTTGGCCATATTATAATATAATCATAGTCATTCATTCATTAAAACTACTAAGGTGTAAAAGCGACAAGTTGCTGTTTTACAAGCAGTTTTTCCAATAAGACTCCAGAGGTCACCACTCCCAAAATATAACTGTTTCCTCATGTTCCCAGTCTGCAACCTCACCTAAGCTAACCTACTGCAGACATTACGATTATTGCCAAAATGATAATCACGATTATTGTGATCAATATTGAGATCACGATATCGACAATTTTGTCTTGTTTTGTAGACGCATTTTGTTGAACGATTGCGATCGGTGTCAAGCTAACTGATAAACACTTTACACTTCCTGTGACTAGCTTACTTCAAAATAAAAGTCAATTCGCCAGGTTAATGCTTTCAATGTGAAGCTGCAGCAGTAGGAATTGTTCGGTTTTTGTTAGCAGTAACTTAAGCTCAGTAACTGAGCACGCAGTTTAAACGTCAATATTGTAGACGATTAAGATCATTTAATCACAAAATTGTGATCAAGATTAATATTTGATTCATTGTGCAGCCCTAACAGACCTGAGAGTGATATCAGTTTTCTCATTCATCTCTTTGACAGAAAAGTGAATGAATGTTTTTCCAGAATGTGGAATAATTCCTTTAAAAGACTGAAAACTATCAAAGCATTTTCTTTCATCCACAACTTAACTTTGAAACTCAACTCTCACTTGTTCTAGTGAGATCCCAAACGCGCATTGATCTGGTTAGTAAGGACCAAGAAGATGAATAGAAAAATACTGTATGTTGGACAAAATGTGTGTCTATGTCAAGGAATAAAATGTTTCTGCCTCCCTTTCTCTCTCTCTCACCCTTTCTCAGGGTTACCTACCAGCTAATGCGGAAAGGAGAGACAGCGTCTTACAGAGGAAGAGACAAGAATATTTTGGCTTCATCCAGCAATACTATGACTCCCGCAATGACGAACACCATCAGGACACATACAGACAGGTATACGCACGCACACCCACGTTCACTTCTCCTGTTTACTTGTTGTGCATTTAATCATTTCTTCTACATCTGGCTTTTTTTAACACCTTTTTAAAACCACCCAGAACTTGAAGGACGGAATGAAAGACGAACTACAAAAGGTTCCATTTCCAATTACAGGAACACTTTCTTGTCACTAATGTATTCCTTCAGCACAAACCCAGGACACACGGCTGATTACGTGTACGTTTGTGTGTGCGTGTGTGTCTGAGAAACTGTGTTTTTTGACAGGATTCAGCCCTGCAGACAGGATTACTGGAACCAGTTTCATGCTTTCTTTTTTCTCTGTCCCTTCCTCCTTCTCCTTCATGAACTCACAGGACTGTTGTCTGTGTGTCTGTTGACATGGAGAGAGTGTGGTTGTGCACTGTTCATAGAGAAGAGACAACCAGCCCCCAAGCTTCAGAAAGCTGCTTAAATGAACACTTTTCTTTGACTTTGAAAATAATATCTACTTTTACTCTTCTGTCTGTTTATCTGTCTCCCTCGGTCTCTCCCCCACATACTCTTTCATTTTAACGCTCGACTACTTCCCATTCATTTCAGGCCGATAAGAAACATCAAAGTGGGCTGTCGATAGCAAAAACACACATTTCTCATATCCCGTCCAATTTCCCATTGATCTCCTGTGCACTATGCCAGAAAGCTGGCATACTTTGTTTTGATGATTGTTTGGATCGCGTCTTGAAGCCTCTTTTTCTGCCAAATTCCGCCTGTTCCAGAACTGTTTGTGTTGACGGAGTGAGCAGTGATTTCTAGTGAAATTTTTTTTTCTCTGTGTGTGATGATGTGCGTTTGTACATATGTTGGTTTGGCACTGAAATTTCACATTTCAGTAGGTTTTCTATGTATTTTGTGTATATTATGATTAAGTGACTGCAGACACATTTGCATATGTGACATGTACCTATATGTCTTATGTTTGTCTGTGCATTTGTCTTTGTCCATATGGGATGGTCTAAATCTCTCCATCTGTCTCTATAGTTTGTGTCTATTCTTCTGTCTGTCCATCTGTCTCTTTTATATATCTGTTTATGTTGTTGGGGATTTGCCCAAACAGCTTGTGCGTATGTGTGTATGCATATGGATGTAGCCATTGTAGAAGTCCCAGCTTGCACTGTAAGCTTTTTGAAGTACTCCTGCACTTTTGTTCCATCCCAAGAGAAATTGTTGTTTGCTTTTTTTTAAGCTATAAGTAAATATAAGGAAGGTCTGGTGGCTAACACTGGAGTGGATTGTTTGAAACAGCTGATTTAGTTGTACTTTTAAAGCTGTATTAAAAAGGGTTTTGCCACAAGGGGGCAGAAATACTTCAGAAATACTCCTGAAACACTCTCACAGGAGTAGAGCCTTTTTATTATGGGCTTATCAAGTTGTTGTGGCTGTTTTGTCAAGCCGTACTTACACATTCCGCAGTAACAGAGCAACACTGGCAACCCATCTAAATGCTTCTACCTGCCATCTCTCAAATATAAGCCCAATACTCGCTAAACTTTTTAAAAAATCTTTAGTCTTTCTTCTTTTTGTACTTTGCATATTATCTCTTATTTTGTTCTGTTAACGTGTGTGATCTTGTGACAGGGCAGTAGTTACCTACATTTTTATATGGGGTAGTTGGAACTCAACCATATAAAATCAAAACCGTGGACTGTATGCTGCTGAAAGTTGCATTAAGTGTAAAAGGGTTACATAGAGGGTTGTTGATTCCCAGTGGGAACAGCAGTACAATAATTTCACTCAGTATCGGAAATACATTGAGTGCTGTACATTTGAATTCACTTGATAAAGAAGAATTATGGTGTTTTATTCATCTGGGTCTTATAATAATTGTGACTGCTCTGACTATGGGTCATGCTACTTTTTAGCTCACCTGTTCCACTCCTGTTAACTGTAACTCCAGCAAAACAATGTACACCAGGGCAAACAGTGTAAGCTTCCTGAAGCTTTCCAAATAAACTTCAATATTACACCAATCATTTCAAGCTTTTGCCTCTAATGTTGGTTTCTTTGAGGAGGCACATAAACGTCTCAGTGGACCTACGCAGAGAATGGTGTTACTGTGCACACCTAAGTATCAGATTTCAACAACATGTTGTGCGTATCTTAGCGTCACACAAGTTTACCTCCTGTTGGGAGGTTCGAAACCGAGACGAAAATAAACCATGAGCCAGGTTGAAAAAATACCAGAATTACACTTTCTAGGATTTACCTCTTCCTGAGAACATCTAGGGAGATCTTACAGCAACAATATTGAGGACAAGTGCACAATGGGGACTTCTACCTTGGCATGCATGAGTGTAAACGTGTGTGTGTGTGTCTAACACCTTTCTCTCCCATGTTGCTGTCAGATCCACATAGACATTCCTAGGATGAGTCCTGAGTCTTTGGTGCTGCAGCCAAAGGTGACAGAGGTAAGGTGGACAGAGCAGACAGGACTGTGAATACAGCTAAATCCCCAGTCCTGTCGGTAACAAGCCACACACTCTCACAGACAGTCCGCCTGTCCGGTCTGGACTATTTCAGCTGGCTTGGCTCCAGTCGCTGTCCTGCATCCGTCTGGCTCCCTTCTGACGAATCTGTCTGCCTGTCGTGTTGTTCATCTGTGGGGCAGACACTCTGAAATGGTGTGAACGTGGTCCAACACACACACACACACACACACACACACACACACACACACACCTTGTACTCTCAAGCACATAGTATCACAGGGACATCTCAACATGCATACTCGCACTCAAGACCACCTCTACCATCCATTTCAGACCACCGAAACCCCCGTCTGCCTTCAATCAAGAACACCAATCCACTAACTGTTGCTCTCTGTCTCTGTCTGTATTGGCCAGATCTGTGCTAACCTGCCCGTTGCTTCAGTGTTTGTCTTTTTTTTTCTCTCTTTCTCTCTCTGCAGATTCACATTGACATACCGAGAACTAATCCTCTTATTCCTCTCTTTCAACAAGCTTCTGTCCAAGAGGTGAGAACCCCCTCAACCCCCCACCCATGCTGCACACACATCACCTCTACCTAGCAGGGTTTTCCCATCTGGTTTTGGACAGATAATGGGTGGTAACCTCACGATATTGTGGGGCAGGAAGAGAAATAAAGGATCCATGGGCTCAAGGGACAGTCAATAATAAATACCAAATCAATTAATGGTATCAGTTATGTTAGTATAGTTATAGTTATAGTTATAGTTATAAAACTCGAAGAAAAAATCTGTATGAAAATTAACATGAAAGTTATAAGCCAAGGGAAAACCCTCGCTTCAGCACACTGCATGGTCTGGCATGGGCGCACACACAGAAGCACAAAGTGAGATTACATATAGAAGATATTAAGTTATACCTGCAGTCATGCATGTGATCAGATACACATAAACTTCCACTCTGCATGGTTAGTACTTTCTTATGTCTTTGTTCTGCTTTGTTAGTGCTAGTGAACAAAGGATTTCTTGTTACAGCTGGGTACTGTGTTTTAGGGGATATAAAAACTAATTATTTTAAAACCCTCTTAAGCATTATGTTTGATAAAATGATAATAATTATCAGTGGTAGTTTGGGCACATTAGGAAAACATACAGCAAGGCTCACATTACTGGAACACTAAGCTATTAAATTATTCTAAGTAGCTTTGGATAACAGTGTTACTTAAATACTTGAAATGTAAATGTGATACGAGTCACTTTTGTTTTTGCTGTGGTGTAAGAAGTTGGCTCAGCGGGCTTGAGGGACAGTGCAGCTTCCCAAAACAACTTAACAAAATTAACTTGATTCCATTCATTCATACGGGGTTAAGTTTGTCTTATTATTACAGTGCTTGTGGGAGGTCTTGTCATACATAGAACCACTGGCCTGAGAAGCAGAGAACTAAAAACCCAGAAAGAAAAATCCTATAATGAGGTGCAGGCTAATGAGGTGGTCAGGGCTTGTAGACTGCTCCGTGTATACACCTACACATAGGTGCGAGAGCAAGAACACACTTACAGATACACTCCTGAAAGAATACACGATCACGTACGCATGTGTACACAAGGTACAAAAAAAAAAAAGGGAGATAGAGACATTCTAGCATTTATCAGTTTCCAAGCTCACACACGTACAGGTGCATTAATTCATACACACTGAGTCACACATACACAGTGCCCCAGGCAACAGCACCTTCCTTTGCCCCCTTCTTGTACGGGATGCGATTGGGGGCTGTAACCAGGGAAGTAAGGAGAGAAATACAATCAGACATGGAGGAGGCTGCCTCTTTTTTACTTATAATCTTATGTACAGTATGTATTACGACTGTATATATTCTACATCTTCCTGCCCTTACCTCCTTTTCCCAGAACCCATGTTTTTCTCACTCTCGTCCCCACACACTCTTCTCATTGCGTGCAAAATAAAAGCCACCAGTGTGCGTTGAAATATTCAAGCAGCGTGCTCTCATATATTTTGGTATGCAACATTTTTAATGGTTATGCATTCTGCGGCAGCACCACCTGAAAATCACCTCTGCTTCATTTCATTCACTTGTTTGTCTCTGCGCCCCCCCCACCCCACCCCACCCCATGGGGCTCGGAGAGATTTAGTCGAGATGGAAGGCAGTCAACAGTCTGTTCCATTTCGGGGGGAGAGAGGGATATTGAAGCAATTCTGCAGTGATTTCCTAAGTGGTATCTAAGTGTTTGAGTTTTTCTTGTTTTGGAGAACAATACAGTCTTCAGGAGATGTTGATAATCTGCAATTACAAGTTCCCAATGTGAAAAGAAAACGTTTAGTTGTGCCTCCAAATTGTGATTAGAGGCTCACAGAGCAGGATTTATAGTAGTAGTTAAGTAGGTCTCGGTGCATGCCATATTAAAAGAAAAATGTGATTTTTCTTTTTCATTTCAAGCATTTAACTGATTCTTTTCCAATGAATAACTCAAAAAGAATGAGTACAAAAGTAACATTTTTGTGTTGTTGTTGATGAATACTTTGGATAAAACGATTGAACCCATGATCTTTTGACCGTGGAATTATCTTGTTGTTGTTTTAACTTGTCACATGACAATGAAGAGTTCTCTGACCATCTTGTATCAATTTAGTTTCTACCTCTCGAGATTACCCGTACCGGGGGCCCTCTAGATCTGGGACTAATTCAATGGAGCTATCGCATTACGACATAGGAGACACAGGGATGCTGATTTCCTGTTCTAGAGATGCATCGTGTTATGAGAACAATATAAAATTAATGTGAGATTAACATAAATTGAATGAATCTAGTTTCCTGTCTTTTGAGGAGTGAGTGAACTCCGTTTAAACCTGCAGACGATGCTGTTTGGTTAGTGTTTGACACATGCAGTTTCTCCGCGTCTTTGTTTTTTTTCTGCGTTTCACATGCAAACACAACACGGCACCCATTGTAAACCAAGTGTGGGTAGGGTAGTGTGTACGTGCATGGGTTCCCTCAAAGTGGTTCTCTGTGTAGGTGCCAGTGTGAAATATGCATGTCAGCTTTTGAGGTTGCCTGAAAAGAAAGTCCCATTACCCACTCCCCCTGCTAGCAGCAGCACCTCTCCTTGTTTGATAGATGGGCCTTTGATAAGGGAAGAAGAGGAGGTGTGATGTTTGGAGGCAGGTAAAGCAGATTTGAGGAGAAAGGGAAAGCCAGACAGAGTTGCATCTTACCAATCTCTCAGACTGTCTTAACATTGATTGAATTACTTTAAATAAAAATGAGAGGGTTTGCATGCACGGCTTCCAAAAAAATGACATTGGCATAGCTGTGCCCCCCCCCCATAAAACAATGAGCTATGAGGTTATTTAGAAAGTGACAGAAACATGACATATCCCCAAAAAATAAGAAAGTGCTTGATGCGTGTGGTACAGCAAGGTGTGGGTGTGGGGGGAATCCATTTGCACACCAGAGAAAAACAAGCTGAACATCAAGCCTCCTCTAATTCTCTGGGGCTGACAGCATTAAACAGCCACCCATAACGAAGATGGAAGTGTTTGCCTTGCAAAAAAATATTGGGAATTGAGGGAGAGGGAGGGAGAGAGATGGAGGAGGAGATGGACTCAAGAGGGGGGAAGAGCACGAGAGAGAGAGACAAAGTGAGTGAGAGAGAGGAGGGAGGAGGCCAACACCAAAGCAGAGAACAAAGTTCAAAGTGAGCTTTTTTGTGTGCTCAAAAAATAAAATAAAAAAATTCAGCTGAGAAAGTGAAGACTGAGGTGTTGCTCTGTGCTCAGAAAGCCAGAGAAACTGTGCTGGCCCATTTCCATTATGCCCAAAATCCACTTTCTGGTTTTTGGGCAGTAGTTTTGTCACTTTTCACAACAGATTTACAGATGATCTTTAATGCATTTAAACGGTATATAAAAAGATGAATAAAGACGAGATTCAAATACCACTAATTACAAGGAGGACTGTGATGGAATAAAACACGCACACAATTACAAATACATTTTAAGGTTTAACTAACAATTATGTGACATTTTAAGCAAATAATGTCATCTGTAAGTAAGTATTGATGCACTTGCTTATTGAAAGTCAATATTATTACAGTCTCATGGTCAGGGTTAAGAGAAAATATGCCATTAAAGGCACCCAGTGGAGTTTTCTTGTAAAGAAACGAGTCACGTCTACATTAAGTGTTTCTCAACAAAACAGATTTCCTTTTGCGAAGCCGAGTTCCAAACACCATATTTCTTAGCTTGCTGTGTTCTTCTTCCTTGTCTTTGTCGGTAAATTGCTACGCTGCTTTGCACGCTACCGCCACCAACTGTCGATCAACCGAGTACCCAAGTCTACGCGACCCCTCATGCGCCTGCGCAGGACAAACGAAACAGGGATCCACTTAGAATATTACTCTACAGCACTACTAGTGGCCAAAAAACTCCACTGGGCACCTTTAATGTTGTTTATGTATGGAATTTACTGCATAGATTCTATGTCTGTGGTCATGTGCAATGACGGCCCCTGAATAGTCCCATCTTAAACCAGATTACCATGCAGCAAACAGCATCTGTAACTTTCCCACCAGACTCCCACGGCAAGCAAGACTGTGATTGAGATTCAGCTGCTTTCCTCCTCACCAGCTTGGCATGCCTTAAATTGTCCTGATTTCTACTCCTGCCTTCCCACACCTCACTCACTCTCTAAAATTTACTCTTTTTATGATTACAACTTGTAATTCCAACCAGCCTCATGTACTGGAGGCATAATTTGCTGTCAGAGAAGAACTATTTAAGGTGTCAGTGAACATGACTTTTGGTTTTGAGTCATTATTAACATATAAATTGTGAGGGAAATGATTAGTCAATTATTTGATTAATTAAGAGACCATTTGACAAATTGACAGAGGGTTAATTGTTGAAGTTGTTTTATACTAAACATTTACTGATTTTAGTTTCTCCGACAGACATTTATTGCTTTTCTGTTTAATATCATTGTAAATTGACAACGTTTGTGCATTATTTGTGTAATGTAAATGTTTCTTGACTACTGTTTTTATGCAATGTCTTTGTGTGTATGTTTGTGTGCAAGATTTTTGAGCGGATCCTGTTTATCTGGGCCATCCGCCATCCAGCCAGCGGCTACGTGCAAGGCATCAACGACCTGGTCACGCCTTTCTTTGTCGTCTACGTCTTTGAGTACATTGGTAAGTGCTGTCTCCCCCCCCCCCTCCTTTTTTTCCTCTCACTTAAAAACCACCTGATCTTTTGTGCCATACCCTATTGATGTGAAGATCAGTCATCTCTTTTTGCTGCCCACATACTGTAAGCGCCGCTTTCCACAGTGCAGTGGCACCTTTGTAGCAGGCAAGACTCTGGGGTTCATCACAACAGGTCACAGGGAATCAACCTTGGGACCTGTGAGACGGTCTCTCTTTTTACAACTTTTTGGCCAATGAACTCTTGCTGCTCGGTTCCCTGTTTTCTTCTATCTATCTGTTCTTCTTTCATTTAGATCCACACTGTGATCTCAGTTTGTGTTTAAATGTGCTTGTGAGTTCTATTCATCACAGCATTCTGGTTAACACTGAACGATTAGATTGAGAAAGAGAGCGTGACCAGTGGGCGTGTGTGTGCTCGTTTGTGTTCACACCACACTGTTATGGCACTTATGTTGCGCCACATTTACGCAGATTAGTGTTTTATTTTATTCTCATACTTACAAGTATACTCTGTCAGATACAAAGCACACACAGATTTTAAACAGTTTAAATTTTACAGGTCCTGTGTGCAAAGTTTAGAAGGATCTAATGGCAGAAATGGAATTTAATATTTCTAGGCATGTTTTCTTTAGTGTGTAATCATCTGAATATAGGAATAGTTGAGTTTTTGTTACCTTAGAATGAGTTATTGTTGTTATCAGCAGACGCTGCGTGTCACCTTCCACGGAGTTCACGATGTTGACCCGACGTGTTTCTACAGTAGCCTCCAAGGGACAAACCAAACACTGGTTCTAGATAGGGACACAGCCACTGTAGTTTTTTACTTTGTGCTTGGAAGGGGAGGGTGAAGCAAGGGGGTTGTGATCTGCCACTACACCACTAGATGCCACTTAATCCTACACACTTAAATGTGTTAAATTTAATGAAGCCCCATAGCTGGACTTAAACCTGGCACATAATATTACATTCATTTATTTATTTCTGTTTATTTTGTTTGTATGTACAAATTGTATTGTATCCTCCTTTGCGTATTTTTTCAGGATGTTCTTGAATGAGCTCTGTTTTTTTTTTTTAGATCCTTGGTTTTTCTCTTACTGAAAAAGTTATTTTATTCCCCATAGAATCGGGGCCTGATAGTCTTTTTGAAACTACTGAGAGTTGCCATTTTGGGGTGTTTCCAGCATAGAGAAGTGGTCAGTGGAAAGGAGCAATTTTGCAGCACACTCCTTTTCTTTATGAGTTCCGGTTATAATCGGTTAAATGCACAAACAGAAATGTGACAGTAAGTCATGGGAATTGACCCCATGCTGTCGTGACAAGTAGTAAGAGCCACTACAGGTCTCCATGATGTGTGAGTTTCTGTATGCTACTTCTCTGTGCATCTCACATACACACTGTGTTTGTTTGGTTTCGTTGTGCCACATTTTGGCCCATTGCGCTCTCTTTGAAGCCATTCAAAATAGAACTACTAAGTGGAAACCACAATGCTCTGTGGACCACCTCGCACACGCCAGACCAACTGTGGTCACAGAGACACAATTAAGATCCACAAGTTAAGTGCTGGGAAGCACGCAAGTAGGTTGGCTTCTCTGACTCCTGTGCTTCTGTGTACTGCTTTTGGCACACAGCACTTTATTCAGAGCTAATGGGTGTTTGTTTTAAGGCATTTTCTCCACTTTTATTTTAACTTCTACTTGGTATTACTTCTTTTAGTATAATGCAATACAATGCAACAGTACGGCATGCTACTGTGCAGCCACCAAAATGACCATGAAGTTAAATCAACACTAATGAAAAAAACTATTTTACCATAAAATGAACATTACAACGTTCATTAAGGTGGGTTTTATTGCAGGGCTGTTGTATTAGAGTGCATTAGTTAGTAGCTAACCTTAAACAAACAGGCAAATAAATATAATTTTCCAAAATGTGATTTCTACCATTTCAAACCCGGCTTTCTATTTAGAGCTGCTATGACCTTAAGACCTTAATTTACAAAACTAGCTAATTAAAAGCAGAGCCTTACGAATATGAAACATTAACAAATTCAATTTAGGAAACATGCAGCATTTTGGAATTAATTGCATTTTGTGCAGACAGTCACTGTGGTGAGGAACTATAAAAAGATGGTTTACATGTTTCCCAACTCCAGTGACTAAACGTGTGCACAATAATGTATGACTGTAAGACTCTTGACTGGTTTCCTCTGCTGTTTCTTTCACTCTGTCATTTTCTACTTTCTGTCTTTATCCATACCTCTCTCTGCATTTGTTTCTCCTTTTTCTTTGGCTTTCTCCGTGGGCGAGTCACGCTCTTGTCAGATCTTCAAGGCATCACCCCGCGCTTTGTTCCCCTGCATCTCTATGCGCTGATGAGCCTTGAACAACATACACAGCCAACAAACCTTCCAACGTGCCTGGCCGGCGTCTTACATGATGGGTTGATGCGCTGTGTTGTTGTTGTTAGGTGCTCTTGTTTTCTGACGCAGAAGAGAGAGCCAAAGCAGAGAGCGGTTTGGCTCTTTCGCAGGCCTAATTTTGCTGCTTTGTGGAGGGGTAGGAAGTGTGAGATACACTCTCTCATGCTGCCGCGCTCTCTTGCTCTCGCTGGCTGTCTCTCCTCTTCTCTTGACATCTGTTTTTCTTTCTTCTGTTGCATTGCACTTTCCCCTTCCTCCTTTTTATGTGAGCTCATGAGTGTATGATGAAAGCAGGAAGTCAGAAATCATTTCTTTAAGAATTGTCACAAATAAATACACACACACACACACACACCCCATGGGCAATGTAGACATGTTAGATGAGTACTACTTATACAAACAAATGGGAACATTTGATGGTGTTTGTAGGTCAGACACCTGAACTCTTCCTCTCTCTGCTTTTCCCTTTCTTCTCCTAATGAGGTCAAAGACTGATCTGTCAAACCCAAGAGTCATAAACCTATTGGTGAAAACACATCTTAAGAAACATAGACACAGGGCCTGGACTAAGAGACTTGCCAGTGAAATTTCAAGTCAAAATTAAATAAATAATTTACAATTTAATGTTTTTATGACTAATCTTCTGCTGCTCATCTTTATAGAATAGGAGGAGTATTTGAAGTGAAGAATGCTCAAGTGTATCCTAATGCCAAAAAGATTATTATTGAGACTATGACCACGATATGAAAATGTTAACAAATGAATTAACTCTAGGCTTCCTATAGTACAGATCTAGCTTTGAACATCACAAACCTACTAATTGAAGCGAATAAATGTTTAAACTTGCATTAACACATTTTGTAGCGACTTGGAGAAGCAAAAAGATGCTGTAAACACAACACTGACATATTAGCTTGAAAAGTTCCCATATCCACCTATAACTCTGATATGGCAGACAGTTTCTTATTCACACATCAGTCAAATAGGCACAGTCATATTTCTGGCCACTTGGCAAATTTAAGCTCAGTATTCGCCCCTTTTATCTCTGTTTTAGTTTCCACTGACTCCTGCTGAATGATCTGGCTCTTGTGCTGCTCAACGCTCCACTACGTTCACTACATTTGGTGCTGAGCATGTTTTTCACTGCTTGCTGCGTCTGAAAAACAACGCAAATGATAGCGCTGAGAATGAACCAAAACAATAAAGTTGTACTTTATAAAACCAAAACAAATAACTTAAAGACGCTATAATGCTAGGTGATAATTGTCTGGCTCTTTACATGTACAAAATATTGATTATAGCCACATTAAGAAATAGCTACTTAAATCGTTTTTGAGTTGATAATTAACTACATCCATGTGTGTTCATGTTCATGTTCATGTCATTGACTGACTGTAGGGTAGTAGACACTGGTTCAGTGGAAATACATATATGTGTGTGATGTATCTCCATTATCCTGTGTGTGTATTTGAGGCTGTTCATTTATATCCCGCACAAAGTCACCTCTGCAATTGTCTGTTTAATGGACACAACATTGGCTGTTGTTGGCAGTGGGACTTGATAGTTCACATTATGGTACGGTGGCCTAATCAGTAGCGCTGTAAAACAAAATGAGGAGCGCAGTAGGTGAGAAAGTGGCTTAGACCAGCCTCCAGCAAAAAAAAGGTTAATATAGGCTTATGTCCTGCAGAGAAAAATTGAGTAACAAAGAAAGCAGCCAAACCTAAAGCCAACGTGTCTGTCAGCAGATTAGGTTTTTTTTTTATTCACACTAAAGAACCACCAAGTTTACTTTCTCAAAATGTTCAGATTTCATTTTCAAATGTGTGTTTGTGTCTATACAATGTGAAGCCTTGTGGATTTGAGCGACAGCCAGTATCTGAGGATATGAGTCAGTTCACTGATTGGGAACCTGATTAAGACCTTGACATATTTTCAGCTGCTTCATCTACCCTCTAAACAAGTCTTTTCTGTCTGTTCTCTGTTCCATGTTGTGTGTTGTCTCTCTCTCTTTCTACTGTAAGTGCTGGTATAGTTGTCTTTTTTTTTAGACTCTTCATTGCTTCATTCCCAAAGTCTTTTTGCTTACAGTAGTCTGTATAGGCTACCTCAACAGAAGTGATGGGGGGGGTGGGATAGGGTAGGGAAAAAAAATACAAAATCATACCCACAGTCTGCTGCCCACAAGATCTCCCTGAAAATGTCTGTTTACTTGTCTTCCCGTTATGTTCCACTACTCCTATGTGTCACTTTGTTAGTGTCTCTTTGTTTGTCTTTCTATTTATCTCGCTCTGTCTTTCTGCCTTCTTTTTCTGAGTCACATACAGCCTTGGTCTGGTACTGCAGTGCTTGTTCAGGTGCCATACACTCCATTTACCTTTTGATGATGCAATGCAGAGTGATTGCTCGACCTCCTAACACCGCACTCAGCCCCCTTTTCTTCCTGTCACCAACTTTCATTAACACCTGACTGTTAATCCAAATTGAAAAGTTCCAATTGGTCGATTATTGATAAGCTCTTCTGGCGCCGTGGAAGAGAAAATACCACTTAAGTTGTTTTGTATCC